CCCCAGGTTCTCCTCTACTCTTGCCTTCAAGTAACGAATATTTCGTTGTGTAGTTTCTTCTGAATTTAACCTTGTCTAATAGAGGATGCCTTGCGGTTTCATTTCCAGGGAGCAGCAACTACCTGCTATGTAGGGCTCAGCCATCAGCTGAAGGGAATCACAGGCAAATACTTTGCTGACTGCAACGAGGAGAAGACGAGCAAATTGGGAGAGAGCGACGTCTTGGCGAAGCAACTCTGGGAGTTCAGCGAAGAGCTGGTCAAGTCTGCGAGTCAGATCTAAAAGCAGGCGAGAGAAAGGCGTAGTAGGAACCTACCGCATGCATGGTGAACCAGTGTCGTTCATTAACAAATTTTCGTGCTTGTTGTTTGGATCGTGACCTAAGAGGCTAAGACCAATATGCACCCTGGTTAAATTTCTCTAATGTATCTGCCGATCTGTTCCGGATTGGGTCAATGGGACTGGTATATGTCATCCTAGTTTCAGATTTCTGTTGCCTGAAATATCACCCAAGTTTCAGAGATATTTTGGTGTTGCCTAATACTTTATCGTCCTAGAGTGATTTCGGGACTGATGGAGTCCCCGGTGCGGGCACGTCCTGATTAGGGTCATTATGAGCTTCGGGTCTCTGGCAGGCAGCCAGATGGATGCTATTGCTCTGCTGATGCTCCCCGTGCTTATCGTGCCGGCCCCTGGATCGAATCGCCAGCATAGACGATACCGATCTAATATCAAACATGTATCGTCCAATCGCAATAATCTAGAATTAACATAAGTCTTACAAACCACTATCAGAGGTTAGCCAAATGAATAATCTCACAAACTCAAAGAATTCACAACAATGAAAACATAAGCAAATCCTAATGAAGTAGTTTTTGGTAGAGCTCCATCTACGTCACGAGGAACCATGTTGAGTGGATGCACGTAGCCGTACGTAAGTCACTCCTCGAAGAGTCACCTGCAACATGATATGTTGCAGCCACTAGACATCTATAGATTTAATGTATGGGCAGGTTCCACAAGAATTATAACAGTCATATCTCACCTACATGCTTTTCAAGTAAGTGAAAATTTGGCTTAGTTTGCGTAAAGCGATAGTTTTATACAATCTTCATATATAAGTGGATCTACTCTATACATAGGACACACTACATCTCACAACAATCCGCAGTATACTTGGGTCCACGGCATCTCACAACAACCCTAGACCTTTAGCCCACTAGTTTGACCAATAGCATCACATCATTAGTGTCATCAAGCAGAGACCTATCCCGGCCCATTGTTCAACCCACCAAGTTTTTTTATTGAAGAGATGATGATGGGATCTTCCAGAGAGTTTTCAGCCATGTTGCTCAAAGTTGTCCATGACTGAGGACACGACTAATCATGATCAGTTTGCACACTCTCCAGAGGTTTGTGTACTTTACCCGCAAGACCAAGTCGCGCCCTTCTGCTACTAAACTCAACTGTAGAGTAGTCACAGGACGAGACTTTTGTGAAGCAGTTGCTTGCTCCAGCAGGTAGACCCACTCCAACCTACGCACCTACATTTGCCGGTCTACCTGGGATGGTTCCCATAACTTACTTGGTCAAGACAGAGCCATATGACTCATGATTACACATGGAAGCTACTTAACTTAAAACTCAAACAGTCCCTTTGAACCTGCGCGGCAGGCCCCACCCAAATCACACCCTAATGACCCAATCAAAGCCAATCCACCTAGATGATTGATTAGTTAGGTTGTCATTAGGTAGCCAACCAATTTACAGTAACATGTCTTCTAGTGTGATTCCAACCCCATTATATCATAGCAAGCTAATCATTGTCTACATGTTGTTTACAAGGAACAGGGTAATGGAACCTAAGGTTTTGCTACTAGGTATCCATACAATGTCATAGCTTAAGCCTGAACTCACATACCTATCGTGGCATACTACAATACATAATCAAAGTAGGGGAGTCATAATCAAAGTGAAACTTGCCTTGGTTATTGATGTCACTTGTGCACTGCTCACACTCACAGGGGTTGCACTCCTTGCAATCTAAAAGTTGAACAAACACATACAACATACATAAAAACGTAATCCATTCAAAAGGGAATGCTTGCATGAATGACAAATAAGAACCAAGCACACACACACTAGCAAAGTAGTTTGGCTTAGGATAGGATTTGGTTCTTCTCCATTTGGTTCAACATCCTAGGGTGTATGTGTTAGGGTTTTGGTTAAAATGATTTTCATTCATAACTTGACTTAGTTTTGTTTCATTCAAAATTTGTTTCTAAGATTGAATTTTGGTTTTCAAAATGATTCATACTTCAACTTGGTTGTGTATCAAATTGGATTTCATATTGAAATTTGAAAATAGTTTAAATATAAAATTCAAGTTTGAATTTGAATTGGATTCAAATAGTTCAAGTCAGGTTTAGATCATTCAAAGTTTGATTTGAAATTAAATTTGAAGTTGAAATAGTATTCAAACTTTTTTGAATTGTTTTGAATTTGAATTTGAATTAAACTTGAATTAAGTCTTTAAAAGGCTCGGTTCAATTCAATTTAGTTCATAGTTGGTCCATGAATTCATTTCCAAAGCTTTCCATTTAATTTGAATTATTCAATTGGTTCATAAGTCCCATTTTAGTTTGAATTAAATCCAAATTAGGTTTGAATTTGATATGGTCAATATGTTCAAAAAATGCATTCCTAAAGTTTAGCTCAAAGTTCTGGAATTAAAGTGCAAACATTATTATTATTAATTCCATGGTTTGAAAGTTATAAACTATTTAAGTTTCAATTTATTTGAATTAAGGTTTCTATTGAAATTTATTTTAATTTTAATTTTACCTTGTTCGAATTTGAATCCTAGTGAGTTCCTTTGAAGGTTCAAGTAATTAGGATCATTTTGCAAAAAGAACCAGACGAATTGAATTATAGTTTGCATTTTAGACCCTATATAGGTAAAAAGAGACTCTATTTTAAATTCATTTTAACTATTTAAAATTGAATATTTTTTTCTCCTGGTTGAATGTTTTTCTCTATAATTTGCAAAAAGTTTCACGTCAATTGGATTAGCAGAATAAAAGTTGTGATATTTTTAGTGCACATGAGCTTTTTGTAAAAGTTACAGAGCCTAATACCTAGTCGAATTCTTTTCATTTTAAGTAGAGACATGTGGTGCTCTCTGATTGGCTGCTACCGCTTTGACCTAGAATAAAAACGTGAACATTGGATTGTATGATCAGCGAACAACTCAGATCAAAACGTACCGCTTCAGTTAAGGCTGGTCATAATGGGGAGGAACTTAGGAGTCACATCACATACTCCAATACAACTTTGCTTATGTGGCACATATTTAATGAAGAAAGAGGTGCTTGTGGTAACTAGCTAAGTTACCGGAACATCACACACTCCAAGAAACAATGAGTCTATAACCTAATAAATACATCGTTGCATGACACTACATAGATGTTCCTACCCATTATGGAGGTAGTAACATAGTCTAGGGAAGTGTGTAAGTTACTAGGTTATGTTCTTGTCCATTGTGACCAGCCTAAGTGAACTGACATAAGACGTTGGTTCCAGATCTAATAGGCGAGAACAGAAGGCAATGCTCATTGGGCGGCTAGGCCACCGAAGATGGGGAACATCGGCGGCGGTGGTGCTCGGGTTCGACGGTTGCAGCGTTAAGCAAAATATGATTCTCTTTTTTTATGGTAAAACGTGTCTCATTCATATCACAAATATTAAAATACAGTTCAGGTACAGATCGACGTGACAAAACTGAAAAGACAGCAGAACGTCTCTGAGCTTGACACCAACGTCCGTCGCCTGTCTCCAGCACCTCCACAGCAACCGTCAAGGAAAAAATAACAGATCACCTCCTCATCTGAGCTCGACGCGGCTCCATCGCTGATATGCAGCTTTACGGGCCTTCAAGATGGCTCGCTAGAAATGATGTCCTTGCCGTTGAACAAATGAGCCCGGGGCAAAATTCCGGACACACCATCTAACCCTAGATCTGGCACCCCCACCACGGCTAAGATGCCGAAGAAGGAAAGCATACCTGCTATCCATCAACCATGAATCCAACACATGTTCCGTCTTTCAGATGTCATCAGTGCAGACCATAATCTGCATTCGCTCCTGAACTACTTCCCAAGCTCCACGCAGACGTTGGAGCAAACGCCGACGCAACGGCGGAGTCAAAGGTCACATGTGCACCAGAGGATGTCGCCGCTGCCATGACATCCCAACTTGAACAGACTGGTTCTCAAATCCATCGCTAACCGTAGAGACGGTCGTCTCGCCAGAGAAGAATCTGGAGCTTCTTTATTCAACATCGTTGTCGTCGTTGCTGAAGCCAAGACGTCGAACAATACAAAAACCTAAGCTACTAGGGCTCTATAACTAAAACTTAAACGATCCGCACGCGCGGGATCCGGCGACCCCCTCACCACCGACGACCAAGAGGTCACCGCCGAAGGGGAGCCGCCAGAAGGGTTGGCTCTCTTGGCTTCGATGGCTAGGGTTGGCAGGCTATAATTAATCAGATCCATCCTTTGATGAACGTATGTCATGTGGAGGTTTGTTCTTGGCTGTGTGTATTTTGAATGTCTTCAAATATCTTGTTGGTGTAGAGGCTATGTGTATCTGGTATCCTCGCAATATTAATATATTCACCTTGTCAAAAAAAAGTCGTGTGAAGGTCTGTCCACGTGTATGCATCCTGTGGCGTACCATACGAAAATTCAAAATTTCGAGAACCAGAGCGGGCGGGCGAAAGCAGCCGCCCTCCCGAGCTGCCAAAGGGTGGGCCCCACATCGTCCGCAGTCACACATCGGATACCGCGCTCGCGCCGCCTTCCTCCTCCAATCGCTCGGCGGCCACTTTCCCCGCCTCGCCGAGCCTGTTCGTCCGCTTCCCAGCTCGCCGCGCTCCCCTCCCGGCGCTCAAACCCGAAGCCCACGGGCTGCCGTGGCGGCATCGCGCTCCTCGGCGGATGGGCCCGCCGCCGCGCGACGTGGTGGTGATCAGCTCCGACGAGGACGAGGGCTCCCGGAGGTCGTCTGTCTCGCCCGGCTCCCTCGGACGGGTCGCGTTGCTCGGGGAATCGCTGCCGCCGGTGCCAGTGCCGCGGAGGAAGAAGGGCAAGTCCCGCGGCGTTCGCGCCAGAAAGGACAACGACGACGAGGAGGAGGACGACGACTGCGTGATCCTGGACGGCGACCCTGACGGGCCGGCTGTGGTTGTGGGCGCCAAGGGGAGGGGCGCGGGGGACGGCGCGTCAGACGAGGTGGAGATCGTCGCGGTCAAAGGCAAGGTACAGATTGGTTTGTTCCCTTCCGCTTTGATCCGCGCAATTTTTGCGCATTTCACTGAAGCAGTGCGAAACCTTGTTACGCTGCCTGGAGTCCGTGCCTAGAGATGAGCAGACCACTGATTTCATCAGAAATTTCGTTTCGAATCGAACTGTGGCTCAGCGAGCATATGTTCTAATTTAAGTATGTATTGCACGTTCACTGCTTCAGAACATACTTTTCCCGAAAGACTTTCATTGTTCAGCCTGTAACATGGAGGTGGTCTGCTGAAGTATCTGTCCCTGTTATTCACCCTTACTGTCGATGAGCATCTTCAGTTTTACTGCATTTTGCCTGTGGACTGTGTTGGCATTCTAAATCGCAGCTACTACAACATGCCATCCTTCTGCAGATAGCGTGCAAGGATTTCCCTCACCCGCGGCATTTATGTTCTGAATTGCCCTTTAGCACCACTCCTCACCCAAAGCATTGTAAAATGGTAAGTCACAAGCATTGTCACCCCCTGTCCCTGATTCTGTTGGTAATATGATTACAGTAGCAGAGTTGACAGCATAGCTTTTGTAATGCGGCCCCGTTGCTGTTCTTTTTCTTTTCAAATGCAGTGCTACTGTTATGTGTGTGATGCTCCAGCTCCATGCAAGAGTTGGGGCAAAGGGCTCTTGAATGGTGATCATTGTCATGCCACCGACAAGGACACAAAGTGGGAAACACTGAGGCAATCATTCAAGCGCAACTTTGAGCTGGGCAAGGAGGCCACTGTGTCCGCTGGGAACCTACCCTATGGCTTTGACACCGAGCACCTTCGCCAGCTCTTCAGGTATGCCCGAACTCTCACGTTCTCATAGGTGAGCCTTCTTAGTTCTCACAGGCGTTTGGATTGATCGTTATACTCATCAATTGTTGAGCATGCAGTTGTAACTTCTTGATAAACCCTGAAATAATTTAAATATGTTTCTTATCAAGACTGATTGCATTGCTTCCTGGCCTTATCTAGTAGGCTATTCATGCAGTGCGCGGTTCTGTTTCGTCGGTGTTCCTTTGTATGGGTTTTCTCTATGTGCTAAAACACAGTGTCTTACTTTGCTGATGTGCAGATCATTTACGACAAGGGAACAGGCAAGAGTTGTGGACAGGGGAACTGGTTTTGACATCGATCGCCTTGGCCAGCTCTTCAGGTACGCCCGAACTCTCACGTTCTCATAGGTGAGCCTTCTTAGTTCTAACAGGTGGCTGGATTGATCGTTATACTCATTAATTGTTGAGCATGCAGTTGTAACTTCTTGATAAACCCTGAAATAATTTAAATATGTTTGTTATCAAGACTGGTTGTATTGCTTCCTCGCCTTATCTAGGCTATTCATGCAGTGCGCAGTTCTGTTTCATCGGTGCTCTTTGTATGGGTTTTCTCTATGCTCTAAAACAGTGTCTACTTTGGTGATGTACAGATCATTTACGACAAGGGAACAGGCAAGAGTTGTGGACAGGGAAACTGGCTGAGTATGCTGTGCAGAATTTCCATCTGTGTGTGAGTATATTTCATAAATGATAACTTGATATGACAAATGTCCTTAATTAAGTTTAGAAGGGACTTGTTATCCTATGATCATGTCTTAGCAGTGCAGCTAATGTGCTCATAGTTAAAGCACTATGGTTGCAGTATGGTTGGAATGTCTTCCCCCAGTTTGCATTTGCATACGTTTCATGTATATGTAACACGGAGTATGTTCCTTTGGTAATATGATGCAGTACTTGTTTCTGGTTTGCATGCAAAGTTAATCTTTTTCATGACTGTGCTCTTAGTTTCTGATTTAGGGAACATCTAAATCTGAACACAAGCCAACCTAATTGCCCTCGCCGTTCTTCTAATTTGTTTATACTAGGGTGTTCCTTGACCTTTTAGCTGTTATTACTTCTTGAGGTCAGTATCATGTGCAATTTGTGCACCTCGGTTTACCGAGACAATCGGCGCCACAGCTGTTCTGTCAGTTGCCAAGTATATGATGGCACGCTTTCTTGTAAATATTCTTCTCTCTTCTATAAAGCTAAGGTATGCCTTTGGCGTACTCTCGAAAAAAAGTTTGAGGTTTGCAGGCTTGGAAGGGACGCAAACTGCGAGTTTGAGTTGGAAGATAGGAATGAACACGGTGAGGGTTTTAGGTGTTGGGTTTTGCAGGTTTTGCTAGGAACATCATTAGTTTTCTTGCCATGCTTCTCTCTCTTTCTAATGTTTACTACCTCCGTAGCTGATAGTGTCATAATTATTTTACAGATTTATCATGATTTTATTTTCATAAATCCTACTCCCTCCGTCCCAAAATAAGTGTCTTAACTAGCTTTAGTACGCACGTACTAAAGCTAGTTAAGACACTTATTTTGGGACGGAGGGAGTATAAGTTTTCATCAACATCTGATGTCCAACAAAATAGCCGTTAAGTTTGTCGTGGAAACATCTCACGATCCTGTAAATGCTTACCATCTTTAGAGATTATATTTCAGGCATAAAACGTCGTGTACTAGGAACGGAACAGAAGGATTTTGCATCACAATTTGGTCTCAGGATCACTAAACAAAAACTGAACATACACATCCAGACATGCAATCTCCTATTCTTCACTAGACGACTTGCTTTGTTGCTCTCCTGCTGCCGCATCTGGTGGCGTCTTCCGTCGTCTCATCGTCGCTGGCCTTGTGAATCACCAAGCATGGGCCGCCGTCCCGCTGGAACGCCCATATCTGGATCTCATCCATCGCTTCCATGCCACTCGTGTTGATGAAACTCCCGTGGTCTCCGAATTTCAGCACCGTCCTGCCGCTAGAATCCCACCGTGTCAGCTGACCATCCATCCGGTCGCCGGCGCGGTTGACGTAGACCGGCACGACGAGCCCGCCGGGCTTCTTCCCCCGCGCCCTGCGGCACGCCTGCGGTTCCGTCCTCTCCCGGGGGTTTTCCAGCTTGGCGGCGCGGCGCTGCTCGTCGGAGAGGAGCCGGAGGAGGCGGCCGACGGCATGGCCGTGCGGCATGGACAAGCGGCCCTGCTGCAGATCGAGGTCCGTCCGCTGGACGCGCTTCTCGGCGATGAAGTGGAGCGGGTGGTCGGGCTGGAGGCCCAGCTTTTCGCGTATCCAGCCCGGCTCCGCCGGCCCGGGTTGGTGTCCAGCGGCCGGCGGCGGAACGGCGTCAGCGGGCTCACCGGAGAAGGGTGCCGCCGCGGCGCTGCTTGAGGCGGGCTCCAGCGCGGACGCCACGTCGTTCGTTGTGATCTCCGTGGGTTTGGCTTCAGCGTCGCCGCCGGCGGTTTCCGATGGCGATGTCGAGCAATATCGCTCCATGGTCGTTCGTAGGTGCAATGTCGATCGTTATCGTCTGTTGATTCAGCAAGTTGAGTCCTCCTGGCGTGAGAATATATATAGTACCGGAACGGGTGGATGATGGACATGCATTTGGACCCGAATCAGGATTCCGCTTTCAAGTGTCCGTCTCTGATTCGTGTCCAAAGTGTTCGTGCGATGATGATGGCGGTAATCCGAGCTGGAGTAGTAAACAAACTACTCGCGGCGAGCGGCGATGACCATTATTTATATTTTGGACCACAACTTTTTTTTTTGACCATGGCAAACTTATTGCTTAGACCATGACAAATTTGTTTTGTACACACCAAGATTTTTTTTGAGAATGAACCAAGAAAACTTTTATCACATACACCATATAAATTCTGTTTTGTAAATAAAATGAAACATATAAAATTTGTTGAACAATTTTTTTGTATACCATGGCTAATTACGTGAACATCATATGTCAACTTTCTTTCCAGAGGGCTGGGTGAAGGTCAACTCGGACGGTGCATTCTCACAAAACCGAGACAAAGGTGGGACAGGGGTTGTGCTAAAGGATCGGAATGACGCTTTCAGAGCTAAAAATTGGTACATGTATGGGCCTGCTACAAAAGGTTACAGGCCTTTCCTTAAATAATCTCCACCGCCCCATGATTTTCATCAGGGTGGGGCCCTTCCCTCCACCTTAATCCAATTAAAATCTGCCAGATCAACATCAGCCTGTAAACATTACTAGCAAAAAATGCCCGTGCGTTGCAACGGAAGAAAAATTTATCACATGTGTTTTCTAATTACCCTGAAAAATAAATATATTTTCAAACAAAATTTGTTTTACTCGTAGTTAATTTGCAAGCCAATGTCATATCTTCAATTCTGATCCAACATGTGATAGACAGGAACTATCAAGAAATTCTCAGGGGCATGTGTAACTAAAAAGATGAACAAAACCGAAAGGAATTATAGCTTTGCTTGTCTCTTTTCTCATTGTGCACTTGCCTGTCAGATAAAAATGATATGTTAATAACAACATTTTTTTGACGTTAATAACAACATATTAAAGTATGCATTATCTAAAGACTCATAGGGCCTGAAAATAGAAAGTAACAACATATTAAAGCATTCACTATCTACAAACCCCAAAACTGAACAACATTCGTACCATGGTAGCTTGAAGCCCTCAACATTAAGAATAAATCAGATAAGCAAATAAAAAATCACATGGACTATTACAATTCACCCTCATTACTGCTCGCATTTCATTCTCAAGGGGTGTAAGTTGTGCAGCAAAAGTCTAGTGATATTCTCAACTGTGCTGGAAAAATAAGATGAGAAGGTTCCGTGCAACATCCTTTACATGTGCACTATATCATGAAATTGTAAAGATAAACTGAGTAAAATTATGTTGAAATCTGAAGCACTTGCAAGAATGCCGATATAGTGACAAGGATAGTTGGCACGTCATAAACTCATCATGATCAAATAAACATTATGGTGGGCTTGCATTCTCACCAACAATCAATGGCATCTTGACTGAGCTCCGAGCTAAACGTCTGGGAGTAGAATCATAATCTCCCAAAGTTGTCGTTAATTTCAAAGATATCTTGGCACCCGTTGAGAAAATTTTGCCATCTTGAAACAACCGTGAACTAAAAAAAATGCATCCTAAAGACAACATGAGCAAGATCAAGTATACCAACTCCCTTAGGGAGAACCAAAATAATTACGAAAAATTATCAATACCTGTGGAGGTAAATTCATCGACGAACATGTGAGTTCTTGAGTGCACTATCATCAAAATACACATCCATATCAAGTTCTCCTATGAACTGAACCACCGGTTGTTTTCAGAAAAAGCAGCCAGAAAAAAAGAACGGACATAGATCGTTTTGGTGTAATCACCCATGATTTTGACAAATATAGAACCGCGGCCATAGATCACTTTGATGTCTCGCATGCATGTGTTGCACCGTGGCTTAGCTAGCTTTGCAGCGAATCAATCAATCCATCGCTGTGTACTGCGGCGTCTTGCCGGAAGATTGATTGTCTCGGTAAGTAATCGATCCAGCTCCGAAGTTCTCAGTACGCGCGTCACCGTCGCCGTAAGCTTGTTGCGTGTATGTGGACAGGGCCAACATGCATCGATCACACAGGCGTCGTTCCATGGCGCCCACGGGCTTCCGCGACCTGCCGATGGAGGCCCTGGAACAGACGCGCGGCGCACCGGCCCCCTCGACAATGTCGCCCTGCTCCGCCGTTTGTGCACCGTGGCGCCGCACGCTCAAGGCCACTCCTCCGCCTAATCAAACTGCCGAACCAGCCACACCACGTGTACGTGGAGCGTTGCTGCGAGTGCCCGCTGCGGCTGCGAAACAAGCGCCCTTGCTAAGACAGAACCTGAATAATGGAACAAAAAGTATGCCTCTGACAGACGAACGGTACTGGCCCTCTCGTCGCCGTTTCCTTGGAGAGCAAGACCGACTCAGCAGTGCAGCCGACGCGCATCATAGGTTCCTCCTACGGGTGGGTGGTCAGCGTCGACGAGGCATGCACCCTGACCCTGCTGGAGCCGCTCACCGGTGGTCGGTTTCCGCTGCCTCCCATCACCTCGACGCTCGAGCGTAGCAAGCAAGGAGCAACGGCGGCGTAACATAGGGGATCGGCGAGGTGAGGAGCAGCAGCCGTAAGCACTTTGTCCTTGGCCCCCGTAGCCCCTACCTCTCGATCTAATAATGAATCGAATCGTTTTCTTTTCCTCGATCTGATATGCGTTCAGGAGGACTTGTGCCCGTGAAGATGAAGGAGATCTAGTTGAAACAAAGAAGAGGACGGATACATCTAGTATTTGTGTCCGTGAAGAAGAAGGAGATCAAGCCACAACTTATTTTTCGTTGCGGACGGAAGGGCAGTGGATCGAAACGTGTCAACTTTCTTTTCAGAGGGCTGGGTGAAGGCCAACTCGGACGGTGCATTCTCACAAAACCGAGACAAAGGTGGGGCATGGGTTGTGCTAAAGGATCGGAATGACGCTTTCAGAGCTAAAAATTGGTGCATGTATGGGCCTGCTACAAAAGGTTACATGCCTTTCTTTAAATAATCTCCACCGCCCTCCTGATTTTCACCAGGGTGAGGCCCTTCCCTCCACCTTAATTCAATTAAACTCTGCC